GGGGGGGGGGACTTTTGGACAATTTATATGTATCAACAAAAATTATAACAGCCAGTCACTAAGTACAAGGCCAATAAAAAATAGGAAAGTAGCAATACCAAGAAGCGTTTGTGCTAGGCTGTTATTCTCGAGATAGTTGTAAACAAGAATTCTCTGATCGCCTTCCACACAACAACCGTAAAGCTTAACTAAATTTTCATGCTCTACATCCGAGATCACTTGAATCTCTGTCAAAAACTCTTTTACTCCTTGACTTGATTCCGAAGAGAGAACCTTTATTGCCGCCATCTGCCCAGTCCTAAGTTTTCCCTACTTTCACAAGAATATTTTTTTTTTTAAGAAACAGAAGTCAGTCTCAAATTAAAAAATAATAACTAACTATGATTATGTACAAGGAAAAAGAAAAAAGTGAAGAGAAACTCTGGTTACCTTATAAACCGAACCAAATCCTCCCTCCCCAATTTTATTGATTTGACTAAAATTATTAGTAGCGTTTCTCAGTTCCTTGTAGGAGAAAAGAGTGACATTGTGTATTCCAGAGAGCTCTGTTTATAATTCAACTTTGTTAGGATTGTCTGTGCAAAACAAATAGGTTGATAGAAATAGGATTCATGCATAGCTTGTTCAAGCGTTTGCAGAGGCTGCTCAAGAAGAATATACCGATATAATATAGTCTATTTCAAAAGTTTGGCCACTTTCATCTAGATATAAAATTTAGGGTTTACCATGATTGAGCTCAGGTGAACGCCCCTGTGCAGAATCCAATTTTCTACCACATAAGAACGACCAGCAAGTCATAACTGTAAAATCTACCACTGGTTCTCGCCACTAAAACTACACACAGAATGCTTCAATGGAAAGGAATGCACAACCTGCCAAATCAGATCAAACAGTCATAAGAACCTTAATTAATTAGGTCTCTATTTAAGAAAGATTGTGGAAGAATGCGAAATGAACTTTGTGCTCATTGAGTAAAGCAACTCAGCAATAGTTTACACAAGTCAATGGATAATCACACCACAATTAGTTTGGTAAAAAGATCCTTGTTTGCTAACATGGTGTTAGCGTCAGGTCAGTTGGATATCAGATATACATCCCTTCAAAGAGCTTCTGTATGTATGTTAATTGATATATGTAGTTAAAATGCTAACATTCTAGAAATGGCTTTCTGCACCTACGATGAAGAACAAAGTTGCAAAAGGAAAATGCCAAAAACATCAATCTTTTCTAAGGCGCGACTGTTGTTCAGGTGACACAAACAAGCATTGAAAGATCTTTCTGGGAAGAAAAAAAGGTCAGCTCCAACATATAATTAATTAAGTAGAGTTCTTGCCGTTCCTCAATTACTTGTACAAAGATCAAAAGGCAAAGGTTCATGCCATAAACATCGAAGCTGGGAAACTATTACTGCTCGAATATATTTGTGAAGAGATACAACAGAATTATAGAATTAACAGGGAAAAAATAAAAACAAGATTACATAACCATAATCCAAAATGCTTCGTTTAATTAATTATGCTCGTGTACAACTTGCTCTATAAAATCATTTCAGCAGATCCCTAAGACCAAAAAAAAAAAAAAGAATCATCTAATCGAAATAACATCAAAAAATTAAAAAATAACACAACCAACAGTATCAAAATAACCCCAGATGAGAAAAATACCTCAAAAGCTCAGGAAAATCAAGGAAAATTCTAGAGAGAGATAGATGCAGCTGTTGAGTTAAGAAAAATTATGGTACGACAGGAATGAAAAAATCATCGATTGTTGAATCCCTGACCAGATGAGTCTTCGAAAAGTCAGTAACGAAATGTGTGAACGCTTGGAAATTTCACATATATGAGTCATGGGTTTTTATTTTTTAAGTAATTTGTAGGTAATAATAATAAAATTCAAATGCCTCCCATTGAAGATTTGTATGAGAAAAATGGCACTGGCTTTTGCGTTTTGACCAGTCCCTGGGCACCTTGAGAAAAAGTCAGTGCCGCGTTAGCAAACACGGTGTCAAAAGCAATCACTGGGTCTCTGTTCCTCCTATCACAGCTTTTTCATTAATTACAGGGTCTTTCGTACTTTCTCCGGAAAAGTTTAACGTCAATCATTGGAACGCAAGAGATTAGAACATAAAATAAAATTTTAAGCTCGTATTTGTCATTTTTTAAAATTTTAAATTATTTGTTACAATATTATTCTCCATCACACATTTACGTAATAGAAT